AAATCATTTTCTTAGAAAAAAATGTGTGACCCGCAGCAAGGCACAGGTAATTTTGCTAGTGTATATATATATATATATATATATATATATATATATATATAATAAAATATAGTTTCAAAATGTGCCATATTTATAAGTAAAAGTGCTCAATATCAGGGATAGCACATGTGTAAACATCAGAGTGGACACTTAGGTCAACACCAAGTAATAACAGTTTGATGCTGGAAGATTGCATTTATATTCATGTGGTCACCCATTTAGTTACTGACCAGGCTTGATGTTGCTTAATTTTGGTGATTGTATGAGAACCAGTATTTCAATATCATATGGATGTAAATCAGGTCATGTAAGAGAGAGCAAATTCCTGTTGGGACAATTTAGGGTTTCATCATTATTGTGATCAGCACCTTGTTGTTTAATTCATTTTCTATAAGCTTATCAACTTTTTGCAGCCTTTTTTCAACCAAAAAATATTTCTTTTAAATTGTAAGAATGTTTTTGAGATAATAATAGTTTAGTGAAACAATTCTTTTTTGTAAGCAGTGGAAATGACCTTGAAACACTACAAGAATATGTGTGGTGGTATAATATGACTACTTATGACCCCAAGGACTCTTACAGACAATGTGAAGTTGGTGTGCATCTCCATAGGTGTTTCTGTGGGGTATTTGCATAGCCACCCATCATTGCTTTCATTCACCTGGCCACTTTCAAGAAACTTGTTATGTTTGAGTTGCTGTGGTTGGAAGCTTGTACCACAAGCACACTCTGCCTTTTCATTTCTGTCCTGTGTTAGATTGGAGGCTGCCATGTTAATGTTCTCCATATTTCTAAAAGAGAAATGAGAATGATAAAATTTGGTGTATACTATATAGCATTATGTTAGGTCATCATCCATTTATACTTTGTTAAATATGTGTTCTAAAACAGCCTGTGCAATATTTATATATATATATATATATATATATATATATATATATATATATATAGAGAGAGAGAGAGAGCGATAGATATATAGATAGCCTGATATAGATATATAAATATAAATAGATATATATAGATATATATATATATATGTAGTAGCATACCTACAAACGATAATGGGTATGTCCCCATTCACTCAGTAAATACTGTATGTTGGTCTGCAGTTGAAGATTCATTGTGGAATTCATTTGACTCACTTCTAGCAGTTGACTACTTCTTCTACATGTCACTGATGAATCTTATATGTGTTGTTCTTGTCCTAAGTATTATCGTTCATTACCAACCTTCGTGCAATTATTCTATTCAGTAACCTTTGCTGAATATACAATAGATTTTGCCCAATGTGATCTAGTAAATTAGCTTTTCAAAAAGCACACAGTTCTTTGAAATCCACAGTATATATATATATATATATATATATATATATATATATATATAGGTCCGATGCATAAATTGTTGCCTAAATAACACAAAAATGAAAATAACACTGACATCTCATTTTAACAGATATATTTACCAAAATTGCATCAAAATATCTTGAAAGACTAAAGAATAAATTTATTCAATAAAATTGCCATTGGCTTCAACCACAGCTTCCAGATGACTTTGGAACCTCTCTTCTAACTCTTCTGGACAATCTTCTTATTTAAGTTGGTAAATGCTACCATAATCCTTCCATTCAGTTCATCTTTGGTGTTACAAGGAGTTTTGTTGGTCTCTCACTCAACTTCGCCCCACACATAATAATCAAGGGGGTTGCAGTCAGGGGTATTAATTGGCCAGATGTAAGGGGTTATGTGGTCACAGAAATTGCCTGACAGCCATGATTGGGTTCTCCAGCTTTTGTGGCATGGTGCAGAGTCCTTTTGCCAAACATAGGGTCTTCCAGCAGCCACCCTCTTGACCCAGGGCAGCACTACCCCCTCAAGGCACTTTATGTAGGTCACACTGTTGAGACTGAGGCCTCATGGAAAGATGAATGAAGGCATAATGTCACCATCAATAGGGATCACTCCAAACACCTTCATAATTATCATTAGACATCCAACTCTTTTCAAATCCTCTGCACTGTCCTCAAATTGACACCTAAATACTTTGAAATGTTCGTACTGGAGCTTCCAGCATAAATGCCAAGCAGTACAGTATACCATTTCCAAATTTCTGGTGGAGTGAATTGCATCATAGTGTTCTTTTTCTGACAGATGGTACCCAACTGACCCTAATATGCTATGCGGTTGACAAAATCAAAAACAAACAATGTGCATGCATGAAATTAAAAATCTAAAATCGTGACATTGCACCACACATATATATCTATATATATATATATATATATATATTAATAAAATATTTAAAGGGCTTATCTTATTGACCAACTCCAGAGTTTTTAATTAGATGGTTTGATAAATTTATTAAATTATTACCAGCTATCATATATTATACTTCAAAATACAAACACTGATCATACACAGAAAAATTCAAATTTGAAATACACACCATGCATTTTAAAAATCTAACAACATTTAAATATTTAGTGGTAATTAAAATGTTTGATTTTTATTTATTAATTATTTTTTTTTAATTAATTGATTTATTTATTTTTAGTTTATTTATTTATCTTCAAAATTATCTTTATGACTCAAAATTTCACAGATATGGTATCTACTTATCAGGGGATATGATAATAAATTTAAATTTACTCACAGATAACATATTTCTTAAAAGATGTTACTTAATTTTCTATGATAGTTTTTTATGTCAACTTATTTTCCATTTTAAATACATCAAATAAAATAACAAATAATAAAAATGAATAAGTTGATGTAGAAAAAATTAACGCAATCTGCAAATAAATTCAATACTATCATAACCACTGACAAGTTGGTAGCATATCTGCAAAACTCTGAGTTGGGAAGATGAATTGATCATTGAATTGAATTTTATTTGTTGATAATAATGATCTATTTCTTAATATTGAGCATTTTAATTACAAGGACTGTTAGCCTTGAAATTATTACCGTCCATACTGGTCAATCATTTTTTTTTTTTTTTCGAAATACAATTTTTGTTGTTGTTGTTGTTGTGCGTGCGTGCGTGCGTGTGTATGCGTAAAAAAAATTTTGACATGTTATTTTTTTTCACTATTAAAAGTAAAACCTTTTTATCACAAGCATGTATTGTCACAACTTTAAATAATTTTGTTTTATTTTACGAGAATTAAAATTTCGAGAATTTATTTTAAAATTATGTAACAGAAAACTTAAAAGCGTTTTTTTACACTATCAGTTCTTTTCTGTTGAAAACGTGGAAAATATTTAAGTTAAAATTATATTTAAAACAACAAAAAGTATTTAAAAATATTGAATTAATAAATTCGCATTCTGAAGTACTAACAAAGCAAATTCAGATTAATAAAAAAACGGAATGCATAAACTTCGCAATTGTGGTAAAAGGCTTTGAAAGCCAATTATTAGATTTATTTTAGAGACCCGAAAGTGAAACTAAAAAAGGTGCAAAAAGTTTTGTTTTTTTTTAATTTTCAGGAAGAGGTGAAGGAAGTAATGAATATTATAACTAGTCTAAAAAAACACTAACAGAAAAAAAAACAATACAACAAAAAATATTTTTATTTATTTTACATTTTTTCTTACTTTACTTACTTCATTCACTTCTTTAAGTAACAGAAAATAAATCTTAAAGAAAGTTATCATCGCAACTGAGTACGCACAAAAATGTATATTTCATATCTACGTGCGTGTATGGAAAGTGGTTTTTTATTACTTTCATTTCGAACCCGCTGCCACCACTACACGCCTCCTCCTCTTACTGCTACCACAGCGACCAACCGCTGCTTACTCTCTCCATTTCTTTTACTGTTCACTCTCTTTATCTCTCACCCTCCCTTGGTAGCAGTAGCTATTATTTCCTCCGTCTTCTTTCTGTTCAGGGCCCTTGAAACAAAGTCGGCTAGTGATTTGTCTCTGTCGTCACATGACAATTTATATAACACACTATCGACCTAGTGTAGGCTTAGATACAAATATGTATACATATATACCAGGAAAACTGCAGTAGTAAGTACCGGTGTTTTCTTGTAGAGAAGTTACTTTTTCTTTTTTTTTTTAAATCAAATCTTATGTAAACCATACAGAAAGAAACAAAAAGCTGGTTGCCATAGGTTTTTAAGAGACAAAAAAAAAATGTTAACTTCACCTATGAAGGATCGGACAATTTAATTTTAATCGACTCTTGAGGATTGTTTCCCGTCGTCATGACTTATTTAATAATCGGCAAGGGACTAAAAGAAATGGTGATATCTACGAGGGTCATGTCTTGGGAGAACACCACAAACATTAAGATCGCAGTCTGGCAAAAAAACAATGAATCTAGAGATTGTCAGCAATTAAAAAACAGAAAAAAATATTCAAAATTTGAAGATTACAGACTATATTCTAAACTGCTTTGATCAATTTCTTTTCTTTTTTAGCAAACTTAACCAAATCGTATCACAACATAAACAATAAACATTAAACAACCTGTGTTTTTCTTACAAACATAATCAAAAAAATTTTCACCTGCCATAAGTAATTAAATTTGATTCTAAAATATTTAGAGTGGTTTTTGAGTTGGTTTATTTTATAAATTTTAGATATAAATGATTTAGAGATAATATACTTTCTTTTATTTTTTTATTTTTTTCGTCTATTAAGGAATAAATAAAAACTTTATTTGTAAACACCGAAAAAGACAGGACAGTAATGGTCGATTTAGTGCCAGAAAATTACTATCTTTTTCCTCAGACACATGAAGATACGTCAACAAGTCAGCAACAAACCAGAATTTCAAAGGATCTTCTTTTCTTGGCCGATAATTTAGCTGTTCAGGGACAAATTACAGCGGCTTTTAATAATTATTCAAAGGCTTTTAAGTTGTGTCCGTCATATCCACCTGAAGTTCTTCAATGTTTCGCTGACGCCTTGTGTGTTTCTCACTCAAACAGAAACTTATTGGCACACATGTCTAATGAAAAACACAAATTATTCAGGTAGGTACGAAATAATCACTTTTTTTTTTTTTTTTTGTTAAAAGAAAACAAAAACAAAAAAAAACAGAACTTCTAATTATTGAGAAAATACTGAAATTAAGTGTTGGGGAAAACATGAAATTTTAACTTCCTTTTAAATTTGCTTGTTTGTGTCTTAATTACGATGTAATAAAAATTTAGAAATATTTTCATGTTGTAATGAATGAAAATATTCCTAAATTTTTCACTTGTTGGCGAAGTTTTATGAGCAGTGGGTTAACATTTTTATGACACGTACAGTTGTAGACTGATTGGTTCATTTGTCGAAAACATTTTTCATTAACCAGTTTTAAATTTGTAGCATTTTACAAATATCTCCCCATAAAAAAATGAAAGCTTTAATTTTTTAAAGTTTTATTTTAAAACTAAAAAAAAAAAACTTAGCTTAAAAACTGATTGTTAAAAATGCTTTAATAATTTATTTATAATTGGGTTTTTAACTTAAAAAAATGTTTGATTACTTCACCGTAATGTTTAGTTGAAAGTTGAGTTTATTTATCTTCCTTTTAAGCTAAATTACAGTTGAAAGACACGAATTACGGATGACCATGAATGCTAAAAATGGTTACATAAAAAAGAACTTTTCTTCCCTCTATTTTGCAAACGTTATTTTGTAAAGACTAAATTGTCGATAGTTAGTTTCAGATATTTTCTCATTTTGCTTTCTGGATATGTATATAAATTAAAAAAATGTATTTGTTTTTATAAATTACCCCTTTGAAAAGGGGGGAATATTTCGAATATTTAACTTTTTATTTGAAATACAATCTAAGCATTTTTTTAAGATTAAAAATATTCAAAATTTAAACTTTTTTTTTTTTTTTTTTTTTTTTTTTTACGAAGGTTGACGTGTATATTTAAAAAATTATTTAAATAAACCATTTTTTCAGCTAAAAAATAAAATTTATCATTTTTTGAAGGAAATATCATAACGCAATTGTTAATTAAATACTTTTTAAAATTTTCATCGTCATAAATAAAAAATACTCTGAAATTCAATTGTCTTCAGATTAGAAATCCTAAAAACCTTGAAACCTTTTTAGATTTACAAATTCATATGAAGTAGATTAATTTCATTATATATTTCAAATTTTCAACCCAACATTGCAATTATTTAGCAGCCGACATATGTCTGACTGAATGTTACATAACTTGTTACACATTGTTACATAAGTTGGGCTTTGTGCTCAGAAATCTCCGAAAATCGTTTATATTTTCATTTTTACTTTTAAAATTTGAACATTCGATTGTCATTTAAGTAAATTTAAATTAAAATGTATTTCATTGTGTATTTTCGTAACTGTCTATTATTGTTTAAGGAATATCTTTTGTTATTTAAGGCTCCTGTAATTAACTTCCCTGACAGACTTGTTTACATAATTTGAAATCTTATTGTTTTTTTTTATTATTTTTTTTATAGTAGATCTTTTAATGGTAATAAAGTTTTAATTAATCTTTTTTACTTGTCAGCGTAAATGTGAAGTTTTATTTCTATTTGTTTTCTTGTATTTTATTTTTATGTGCATTTGTGTCAAAGAATATTCGGTATCATCAGTAAAAATGTGAGACGTATCAAATAAGTATCCTCTTTCTTTAAGGAAGATTTTACAAGAATGGGAAATGAACGTTTCTAAAGTTCAGACGCTACTTTGTAGAAACATAAAATTAAAAAAAAAAAAATTTACCTTGGTTATTTTCAGTGAAAACTGAAAAGTTTGCGGTTTGATTAAGACAGGGATGCACCCCCCCCACACACACACACAAATAATAAATAAATCTGCTTAGTCAGGCCGAGAGCCCTTAATCCCCATAAACATACTGTTTTTTAATTAGAAAAAAAAAATCTTGAGCAATTTTTCAAATAATTTTTCATTTTCCTCTTTTTATACCAGAACAAAATTGTGGGGCTCCTAGTGACTAGGAGTCTGTCATTAACACCACTCGGCGACAGGTACCCTCATCATTTTTCTGTATTTTGTGTGTGTGTGGGGGGGGGTATTTTTTTTTCTCTCTTTCTTAATCAGGAAGAAAGTCTTGCAAAATGATTCCATCCAGAAATGTCTTTGGTACACTTGAAAATTGAAAAATATATAAAAAAACATTTTGAAAACTAGAAATGAGGAAAACCTTTTTTTTTTCTTAATATTTTTGTTTAAAAAATAATACGAAGGTACCCAACACTAGGAAGAAACCCTTTATTTTCGAGTTTAGAAAATAAAATATTTTTTTACGGCAGTTTCATTATCCGTTTTCAAAAATACGTTTGGCTGCGACAAAAAAAAGTATCTCTACACAAACACCCTTTAAATTTCAGGGAAACCGGTTTTTCCCCCCTTTTTAAAGTCTGGTGGGGGTCAAAATAGCAAACACGTTCGCTCGAAGTCTTTTTTTTTTTTTTTTTTACACATTGAAGAAGATTGTTTGGCTAGTTTTGAATTTGATGTAAAATACTTTTTCTCGGACTGTGACTAAAAATATTTTAGCCTTGTTTGCTTACCTTTCTGCATGAATCAGTTTGAAAAAATCTTTCAAATGGACCGACAAAAAACACAGCTGATCATGAAGTTGTTCTCTTTAGTTTTTTTTTTGTTTGTTTATTGAATTTATAATAAATTCAATAAACAAAAAGAAAAAAACTAAAGTATTTATCTGATTTCTCTGCTTGACTTTGTTTTTGAAATTTTTCGTTTCTTCGAGAAAATCTTGGCAAGAGATTTTATTTTATTTTTTTGTTCATTTATCATTGGACATTTTTGTTGCTTTGTTCGTTTCAAATAAAAAAAATCACTGCGTGACGCGCAACAATAACTTTTTTCTCTTTTTTGTAATTATTCAGGTTTAAAAATATGCATGATGAACTAATTAAATTACAAAAAAAAGCTAATTGTAATTCTGTTTTACTCTTTACACTAGAAAGTAAATTTATTTTAGAGAACATTTATTTTTAGATAAATTTTATTTATATAATTAAAAAAACAACGAAATATTAAGATTCAAAAATCTTTAAAATTAATTTAAAATTCATAAATGTTCAGAGTTGCCAGAATTTGCTACAACTGGAGTAGAGAATTGGGCTCCAATGTTTTTTTTTTTTTTACTTGCTAGTTTCTTTAAGGCTTCCTAGTTTAACTTTGGCTAACTGTTGATTCGCGTTTAGGGATATAGTTGCACTGGACTTCCAAATTTAGCCTAGGTCAGCAACCTTGCCCCTTTTTAGAATGGCTATTTTTCTTCTATAATTTTGTCTATAAAGCCACATGTTTGAAAGGAAGATTGACAAAAGTATTAAATATGGCGTATTTATGAATCATAATTGATAATTCGAATTAAAAAAGCTGTTTTTTCAAACTACAGTATTTGAAGTTTTAGATTCAAAAGACTTAATGTCGATAAAATCTATATTGATAAAAAAAATAGCTACATTTTACTTTGAAATTTGAGGCAATACCTCAAGAGTTCAGTTGCCACCACATTTTGAAAAAATAAAAAAAAAGATTGCTTGCCAGATCATTATTCTGTAGAGAAGTCTTTTTGAAATTTTCGTTTACTTTTCTTTTTTTAAACACTTTTTAGCTCTTGGTTTTTAAGCAGATATATGCGTTGAACATCTCTAAAATCTTAAATTTGAATTTAAAGTTAATTTCTATAAGAAAAGTTTCTGGTTTTGATCTTGATGGCTATATCCCCCCTCAAAAGGAAATTGATTTGCAGTCAGTTTCTGAAAGTTAACAAATTTTTATAAGTTCCTTTTTTTTTTTTTTTTTTTTTTTTTTCCCCACTCACAAGTTTTTTTTTTTCTTTAAAAAAAAAAATTAATTAAATTTTTAAATGTCATGAGTCCCCGCCTCAACCAACTTCTTCGTAAAAAGCAAACTCCTTTCTTACATAAGGGGACGCTGAAAAGTGCTCAGCCCGATCATTTCCTCCAAAAATCTAACCAAATATCAAGATTTATTTTTAAATCGTTTCTTGTTTGGGCTGAAACACACTTAGCATTTTTCTGTCATTTATCTTTCAAAGAATCACTAGTACTATTATTAATTAACACTACATTCGACCTCTGATTTCATTCAAATTCCATTTCTGTAGTTGGTTGTTGTGTGATGTACGTGCCAAAACACCACGCAACTAATGCCCGCCGTTATTCTTGTAGGTAGAGAGACTAAGAGAAGAGAAAATAACTCAAAACAAGAAAATTTGATTTGCTGTTTTTACTTTAAATTGAAATCTGCAATTTTTGTTAAGAAAAATGTAGACACTGAAGAAAGTGAAAACTAAGAGTAGTCAAAATAATTTTTTAAAATTGTGTGCGTGCGTTTGATGAAGGAATATTATGATTTATTATAATTTGTACAGTTTATTCGGAAATTACAAAAATAAAAAAAAAACATTTGCGCACACAACACTTTTTGAGAAATATCAATTCAATTAACTCACCGTTTTAGGCTTTAAGATGACATCATTACATTATTATATAATGCGTGTATTCAATACAGTTGGAGAGTAGTGTAAAATAATCCTAAAATGTAAATGAACAAAGTTCATTACATTATGAAACTTGTTAATTTTTGTAATTCTTGGAGATTTTTAATTTTTAGTGTCATGTCATCTACTTCAGATTTCTTCAATGATTTAATTCACTTTTAGTCGTATGTTCGACATTAAAAAAAAGTTATGTAAGAAGCTAATTTTTAATAAAAATTAACTATAGTTTCTCACTTGTACCATATGACCAAAAAAGTGTTTTACTTTTATTACATGACCCATGTTGATATCGATTTGTAAAAAACCGCATTTGTTTTCCATGGTTCAGTCTGTTCATATTCGTAATTTAAATTTAATTTTGTAGGACATGTCCCTTAAAGTACCAGCTGTTTTTACTTTTTTTTAGAGAGGCAACAAAAAGACAGTATTTTCTTGGTTGGAATTACATTCTCAGATCTAATACAAAATAGTTGGGT